AGAGATGGAGAAGACAACTCCGGGATGGTCTTCTGCATCCGCTCACCATTTGCTGGTGGGCGTTTCCTCTCAGCCCTCTTTCGAGAGCATGGGGCCAGGTGACATTAGGAAAGCAGGACCCCAGCAAAGGGCTCTGTTTGGAAGGGACTTTTGCCTGATGCTGTTTGTGGAGGTTCAGACAGCATGTGGTGAGATGCACCCAGCCCCTCAGTAGCTGCTCCCGAATTCCCATTGACTCTGAATGTTTCGTAAAGTGTTGCTAGTGGTGTATGTCTTTGCTTCCTTGTGCATTTATTTTTCACTCCATAGGGACAGCAATGCCTTCTCCAAATCTCCTAGCTCATCTTGGAGCTAACGACGTGAATCAGCCAATCCTAGTTGCCAGGCCGTTAGGTGTTTCTTTGACATTTTGTTTTTGGAATTCAGAAATTACGGGAAGGGCCTCATCACCTGCCCTGGGCTGGCTTGGAGCTCTGCTTCCTTGATGCAAAAACGGAAGGGTGGACATTGCAAAGCAGCTTTTCTTTCCTCCTCCCCCTCTTCTGTTCTAATTTTGTTTCTCGAAAGTGTCACATGGCTCCCTATCAGAAATCCCTTAGCTCTTCTCTCCAGTTGTCCCCTACCTGTTAGCCTAGGTCCCTGCACCCATAGGGATGGGAAGGTGAGTAAGATACGACGCCCGACCCTTGGAGTTCATAGCATCCATGGGGAGGACACTCATGAAGTACATCATTACAACACAGTCTAGAAAAGCAGAGGACAGGAGCTGAGCCTGGCCAAGTGGAAGCAAATAGATGGATTTCTGGAAGGAGCAGCCAGAGCTGAGTCCAGAAGGGCATTATCTGGGTGGAGGGGGAGGGCTCCCTGGAAGAACAAACAGCCTGTGCAAAAGCATGGAGGTGGGCGGCCGCACTGGTGTTCCCGCGGGTTGGAGTCCAGTTTGCAGGTGGCAGAGCAGGACGTTTAGATGTTCTGTGACAGGAACCCTGTAAGCCATGGGAGGTCTCCAGGAGAGAGGGGAGGGCTGGCTTGCCTCATCTGAGGCATGGACCCCGGCACCCCCTCTCCCAGTTGCAGGATTCCAAATCCTGCTTGAGAGAGGGCCTGTGGCTGTCATGCCAGGATTTGGGGTGCTGACAGTCGCCGCATCACTGATGAGTGACCGTGACAGGCTTCAGAAGCAGCTCTGATTATTCTGGAAGTGAGGTCTGTCCCTGTTGGTTACAGATACGACCATCCACTCTCCAGGAAATGGATGGCCAGGCTGTGCGGGTGTCCTGTTAAACTGGGTCAGTCAATCCTAACAGAGCCATAAAAGAGGAGGGCACGAGAATCCCACAGATTATAGCTCATAACTGAATGTGAACTTTAGGCGTGCAAATTCCCAGCTACCTACAAGGGGCAGAAGAGGATGCCCTCAAGAAAAGATGGACTGGAAAAAAGCACTGTGTGTAGCAAAGAAAACAGAAATGAAGAGGTCTTTAAAAACATATTAATTCAACCACAATCATTACTCGTCCTGAGGGCCAGGTATTTCCTAGCGGCCTGGGGAGTAAAAGACGAGCGTGGTCTGACTTTGTCAGGGGGATTCTGTGTAGCTAAGAAGACCAATATGTAAATAAAAAGTTGTCATACAGTGTAAAAAAGGCTGTTAAGGAGATTTTTTGAAGTGCAATAGGAGCATAGAAGAGAGAGTCATTCAATAACTCCTGGGGTCTGGGAAGAGAAGAAGGTACAGGAGGGGGGAGAAGACAAATTTTTTTAATTGAACTAAATGAAATTTTCAGTGTTCAATCCTACTTGACATAAAGAGGTCAATTTCATACGGTTTCACTCAGTAGAAGCAGGAATAACGTGGAGGTTCCATCCTGTGCAGCTCTGATCGAATGGTAGTACCTGCCCAGAATCTGTGTGGAGGACAATTTTGAGGGACTCCAGGTTATTGAAATTGATGACTGGTCTGTTCTGGCTAAGAACTAGGTAGATAGTGGTAAAAATTGAATATGCTTGCCATCCTTATTTGTAGGGAGATTTATAAGCAAAGACACAGTAGTCTGAGAACTACAGGGTGGTGTCGTGGAGGCCAACAATTCATGGTAGTCATAGGCAGATGGTCTATGTTAGGCGGTGCTGGGGGCAGAGAGCAGAGACAGTGTGGGAGATGCATTAGAAAGCTGGGTCGACGCTGTGTCATGAAGTGACTTCAACGACCTTGTAAACTCCCCTCATACTGCTGCTTGTACCCTGTGACCTCTATGACTTACTTTTCTAAACAAACATCACTCGCCCCCGCAAAGCACACGGAGGTTACAGTGTTCTCTGCCACTGTATTTTTGTTTAATGCAAAGCTTTCTTTTAAGCAAAGGTCACCAAGTACTAAGAGACATACAGTAAGTACTTCACAAATTAAATTGGAGGATGTTTTTAGGTAAAATAAAAACCAAGTCCTGTGACGGGATGGATTTTGTTTTGCAAAAAGGTCAAAATCATTGCATAAACAAATTTTTTCGCTACCTTGGAGGGTATCCAGAGAAGTTATTTTCAGTCCAGTTTGTCAGGATCTACAGCATAAGAACATTAGGAAAATCACATTGCGCCCTGCCAGGACTTGGCTTCCCGGAGGGAAGCTGTGTTGTGTCCCAGTGGGATTCTCTAAATTGCATTGAAGGTATTAAAAATTGACTGTAGGATTTTATCTGCACAACACTTGAAATGTCCTTCTGGATATATTTTTCTACAACTACCTTATTTTTGTTTTGAAACTCAGGGGCCCCAAGAAACTTCAGGTCTCCCTTTTAAAGTGGTTTGCAGCCAGGGGTACACTCAAGAAACCCATTGAGGAGCTTTCTCAAACCCACCTGCCTGGGTCCTGCCCTTGAAGATTCTGGTTTGGTAGCCATCTGTATATCCTTAGAAATATCACTTTGTACTTAAGATGTCTGACAAGGAACAGAAGCCCAAGAAAGACTTTTGCAAAGTCAAAATAAGTACTGGATAAAGCCTGGTGGGGTCAGGGCACATCTTCCCTGGTGGGTGTCCTGCCTCCTATAGGTTGATTTTAGACCCTAAATTCGATGATCTGGTGTTGGGTTGGTTTGCTGTTAATCTCCATACTCTGCCCATTTCTTGCCAAAACTGGAAATAGCTGCTGAGGAGAAAATGAGACCATGTGAAGGCTCACCCTGCATGCTGGGATAAGCAGTCTTTAAGTCAAGCCGGGAGAAGAGGACCTATCAGTTCAGCAAAGGCTGATCATGAATCAGGCTTGTCCAGACTCTTAATGAATTTACAACCCAGAGAGGGTCTGTTGGTTTCATTCTCATATACAGACTTTTGTGGGGGGAGGGGGATGAGGGTGCTTCTCCAACTGCAAACGGGGGACACAAGGGTAAATGTCACAAGGACCAGGGTCGTTCCTTCGGGTAGAGGTCCTGTCCAGAGGCCACTTCTCCTTGCCAAGGTTTGACCTAATGATGGAAGAAGGGAGAGATGAGTTAGGAATTTTAATAGAATCTTTGTTATCCTGGAAATCATGTACCAAATCTAGAGAGCCACGGGAACAGAGGGTAAAAGTAGAATCTGGGGAAGGCGTCTCAGATCCATCCATACTGGCCCAGTGCCTGGTGGGAGGTGGAGCAGAGGTCGAGGAGACCGGCTTTGGAATTGCGTCTGGTTCTGTAGTTCAGGGAAGTTCACCGTCTCTTAATGGCATCGTGTCCTTCTCCATTGGGCGAACCCCTACTCGCGTGGGATGTGTTAACTACACTTTTGTTGTGATACCAAAGGACTGTAGGACCCCTTCCTAGAGCAAGTCTCCAGGGATCTAGGTGGGTGCACAGTAAGGCGGGCTTCTTCTCATGGGAGATTGAGTCCTCGTTGTGGTTATGACAAGGAATACAAAAACACACGGAGGCGGCTGACCTTGCCCAGCCAGCGACGTGAACAGAAACCGCAGGAACGCATTTCCATCACTGGTAATGGGCTTAAAACTCCCCCTAAATCTCTCCCATTCTTTTCAAAGTGTTAGAGTTTGAGCTTTTCAGCAGCAGGACAGCAGGATTACTACCCTGAAGATTCCTGACCCTGGTCAGCCTTGGAGAGGGTGGTGGTGCAAAACATGGCATAGATTGAGGAGATGCCTCAGAATTCCACTGTTGGTGCCCGCTGTAAAATTCCATTTTGCAGGGATGAGCCTAGTGCCCTTTGCTTTAAATCAGGAGGAGGAGAATCGCCAGTGCAGTGCGGCCACAGCGGGCTGTCAGTGAGGCAGCCTCTCCTGCTTGAAGTCACAGAGCTTTAGGGAAGAAATGAGCAGCACAGAAGCCAAAGACTGGGGGGTCCAGGGTGGGTTGCGGGGGTGCTGAAAGTTGCTTTGATTTCTCCCCTGCCTTTCTGCTGGTCTTCCTCTGAAGCACTGATTCAGAAAGACTAAAGGGCCAGGGGAGGGGGTAAGAGAAGTTTCCTCTAAACGTATCAGTGCATGTGCTTATCATTTATTGAGTGATGATTAACCACCAGCCTCTGCATTGGGGCACATCTCCAGTCACAGGATTCACAACCCTTCCTGCAGGTAGGTATATTCACCCCATTTTCCAGATGGGAATCCCAAGGCACAGAGAGGTACAGTGACTTACCAAGATCACACAGCTAAGTAGTGTCTGAGTCAGGCTTGTCATCCAATTCTCTCTGTATTTCTAAAGTGCCTCTTTGAGGATGCCATGCTGCCTCCAGTACTGATCTGAATGTGGGTCCCAGAGCAGCCAGGGCCCCACGACTCAAACCTCATGTGAAAAGAATGACACGCGCTTGGTGGGCTGGGAGGTGGGTTTCACTGATGCCCTCTGGAAAGTCGGGGGGCCTGGGTGGGTGTTCCCAGCCCATGCTCCAGGGCGTGGCAATGTTTTCATTTCTCTACCTTTCTCGTTTGCGTTGCAGTGATCTCTCAGGTGCAGCGCGCCTGTTCCCAAACCAGACGCCATCTATCTCTCTCTCTTCCGTAGGCACCGTGCTGTTGTGCCAGGCAAGCCAGGAAGGATCTTCCATGTACAGCGCCCCCAGTTCACTTGTATATACTTCCGCAAGTAAGCCCACTGTGTGGCTCCCTTTTTGTTTTGTGACATGAATCTGAGTCCGATCACCCTCCCTGCCATGTAAGCCCCTTCCCCGACCCCTGCACCCCACGCCCTGTGGCTCCCAGCGAGGTGAGGTTGGTTTCCATAAGCATGTCTGTTTTCCCTGTTGCCTTAGCATCCAATTCCTCTGCTCATTACGTCTGAATCTCCACTTCCCAGATGTCCTGGCCATTCTTTGTCAAGACCTGTCAGGATCGGGTCCAATGGATGGGACATGGGGCCTTGGGCTGGAGGGCGCTGGCATGGGAGTTGGGGGGAAGCTCTTACTCGTTGCCTGCTTCTATCATGGCTTTGCAATGTCACAGAAAAATAATTGAAGTGAAATACGCAGGCTGTCCAAATGGCACCCTAGCCTAGCGAAAGGTGCTTGATCGTTACTCTCGAGCATAATTTTCATGCTGTGGAAAATATTACTAGCCTGTGGCTGTTTTTTGCAAGGCTGTGCTAACGTGTGCTGGGCAATTCCACTGACGGGGGGCAGGGAGAGAAGAGTGTCATTCTCCCCCATTGAAACGGTAAAAAGGCGCATTTATAGATATGAATAATAGCCATCAAGTGCAAAGGGGAGGAGGCCAAAAATAAATATGGCAGATAGAGCACAGTGTTGACATGGACAACCAAGGATTCCTCTGCCTGGGATGGATCTTGGGGGTGGAGGCTGCCTCCCTCCCACCCAACTCCCAGAACAGGTTAGAACAATGAAAGCTCTTGCCCATGGCACCCTGGGTCCCCAGCTGGCCCGTGCCTCATCAAAAAGTCCCCCAGCCACGGCCAAGACCTTATCACCTATTGCCTGCAGTGTCGGTGCAGCTGCGAAACCCCCATAACTGCCAAATGGGTCCCCTTTGGGCTGGGTGCTCAGAAGTGAGTGTGGGGTCAGAGGGAGGGGGGTTTATCTGGCCAGCTAGAGATGGGGGTGCTGGAGAGCAGAGGCAGAGGCCCTTGATAATTCAGAGGACGAGAAGCAGAAGAGAACCCTCCTTTAGTGCCAAGAGCAAGCATCTCAGTCCCAAAGGCTGAGACAAACCACACTCTTCTCTGTGAGAGCAAAGATTAGAAGGAGTCCCAGGGAGCCACGTCCATAATGGCCCTGAGACACTTGAGGGTCCCCGAAGGCATCAGGTCACACGGGCAGCCAGTTATTTCTTCCCACCAGAGTACCATCTTCAATAGCACTGGGGGGTGTTCATTAAATGCCAGGTATTTTCCTGTGTCCTGGAGAATCCAAAATCTAACCCTTCTGGCAAGAAGTGGTTCTTTCTGAATTAATGAAAGTTATCCCATCCGGCATAAGTGTGCATGCATATTTCCTAGACTGAGAATGCTACTACACATTTTCACATGCTCAACCTTACTTAATGCTCAGAATCTGCACCAGGTAGGTATTATAATGTTTGCTTTGCAGCTGAGGAAATGGAGGGCACAGAGAGGTGAGGTGATTGACCCAGGATCGCACAGCTAGGATATTGTTGATTTGTTTTTCAAACCTGGGGAATTATTTGATATTTGACTGCTTTTCTGGCTCCATTTGACTCTAAATCTCAGGATCTTTGTACCTGCTCCTCCTTCTCTATAAATATTATTTTCTGAAGGAGAGTTGGTGGTCCAAAACACCCTAGGGTTGAGTTTCAGAGTTTGTGTTGTTTTTCTCCAACATGCTGTCTTACAGAGCTGTGGGATGAAATGTTCTATTATCTGTGGGGTTCAGTCCATGAGACCGAGGCACTGAATTTTTAATTTAACTTAATTTTGATGAATGTTACTCTGATTAGTCACATGGGGCTAATGGTTACCATATTGGACACTGTGGTGCTCCAAAAGTATATGCTATATTTATATTTTATTTTTCTTCACAGAAGAGAACAAAACAAATTAACCCCCCAAAAGGGCTCATTTGAATTGGTATAGTTGTTCTAAAGCAACTTGGGGAAAGTGTGTGTCATAAATGTCAAACATGAAGATATGTCACAAATTCTCCATGTTAAAATAGGTGAAGCATATGGTGGAAATAAAATCATCTAAACCAAGGGTCAACACGCTCTGGATCAAGGGCCAAATCCAGCCCGTGGCCTGTTTCTGTAAATTTCGTGAGCTAAGAATGGGTTTTAGATTTTTCAAAGGATTACAAAAATAAAACAAAAATTATATGTGACAGACAGCAGTGGCCCAAAAAGCCTAAAATACTGATATTCTGGCTCTTTACAGAAAAAAATATGCTGACCTCTGATATAAAGGGTCTGTTTTATTATTGAAAACACAAAATGGCAGTATCAATTCACTGTTTATAATTGTGTATACTTTTCCTCCTGAGTTTAAAAGTAAAAATTTATAATAATTATAAAAACTGTATAATGTGTGCCCAACACTCTCCAGTTTTAAATTGCTTAATCAGTCATATTACCTACACATTTTTCATCCTATTATTTTCACTTATTATCATGTCAAGTGCATTTTATGAAAATATGTTAATGGCCTCATAATAGTCTATTGTTTAATGATATTATATTTTAATTTATACACCCCTCTATTGTTGGGTACTCAGGTTAATAGCAATTTTTCAAAAATATTAAAGAAAATAGATGCCCTTGCATACATCAGTTTTTAAAAAATGAATAAATAGCTAATCCTTTACCCTATAACAAAACAGGACAAAAACTGGGGGTTTTTTTTCTTTTTTTTTTTTGCCATAAGAACCTTCACTTAATCATTCTCTTACACAATACATCCAGATGGACAAACTGTCTTAGTATTTTGTAAGGGTAACCAACCTGGAGGCCTCTGGTCCACTAGGATCGCCAGGTGCACCTCAGATCACTGCCATGTTGAGGCGGTGGTTGCTGAGTGTAAAGTTACCCACTGCCCCCTGGGACATTGCTCAGGCTCCCTCTGTCGATTTCCCAAGTCAGCCATGCCTTTAGGGGCTGGACTGTTTGCAGGTAGCGGGCTTCTCTGTAACATACAAGCACTTAGGTTTTCTCTTCCACCCTAAGGTGTCTGTTCTAGTACAAAATCACCCCCTATTTTCACACACACAGGGGACACATACACCTCTGAGATTCTTTTCCACTCTCCAGGTCTGACATACATGTGGCCGAGAGCCACAGATGGTGTCTTTGAGGTCTGACTGGCGTGGCCTCTTCTCCTTCAAGAACCAAACGTTCTTCCCAAGAGTTGAGGTTGCCTTATTTCCAAGCAATCTTGTAGGATGCACTTGCTTTTTTTAACTTGAAAATGTGTGTGTTTCTCGTTTTTTAGCTAACAGTCATGCTCCTGAAGAAAGGTGTGGGTACATTACACTTTTGTACGTTTTACTGACTTCTGTGATTACTCCTGAGTTTGTGTTGTTTTTTTTCATGCACCTTTAACTGGCCTTGGATGTTTTAGACTTAAATTGCTCCTCTGCCTAGCCAAATAGCTAATCATCTGTAAATAACACCCTTAAATGCAGTAGGGGAGATGGTTTTTAAAGGACTCCTGCTGAATTAGTCTGTAATGAAAATAATTCCTAGTGAAGTGATCTGTTTTTTAAGATGCATTTTTGCATAATGCGTTTTTCTCCCCCTTAAGTGAATCATGCTTAATAATGTGGCCCAAGATGTGGAAGCATTAATGGAAAGATTTCACTCAGGGCCTTATGTCAGTGCAAACCTAATCCTATAGACTCTCCCACCTCACCCCAGCTGACTCCAGCTTTTCCTCCCCATCCCAGAACTTTATCCTGGTGTGAAAGCCTCGTCCAAGTTGTGTCACAGGGCATTTGGCATCCTCTCGCATATCCTACCTAACAAACCACTCTCATCCAGGGTATAACATGGGCCTACTTTCTATTAAACTTCTAAAATGAAGTTGGAGCAAAACTCCAGAGAATTGGGCAAGATCACCCTGTAGCAGACAGAAAACATTTAATGTTAATATTTTTTGTCTTGACAATATTAACTTCTAGTCAACTAAATTAATCAAATAAAATATTTTATTCATTTTTAAATAATTTTAATGAATACATTAACACTGTGTTTGCTTCGAATAGAAAACAACACAGCCCCCCTAACAGAGAGGTTTGGTGAAAGTGGGGGGTTGGCTGGTGGGTTGGCTCACTGCCTACCCAATTTGAGGGCCAGTGATCTGGAGGCCCCTCGCTTCTGGGGAAAAGGCGCCAGCTTTGTTAGTGTTAGCACTGCTTGCATATGCAGTGAATGCTTGAGATCAAAAACGCCTCCAGGCAGAAGTAGCGAAGTAAAAAACCTATCACCTTTCTTCCAAATTAAAACATTACCTCCATTTTTATGAGTCTAAATATCCAGAGGTAAGTCATTGGTTCCATGAATGGGAATGTCCACCTCTGTTTGGAGTAGCAAACCCACCTATCACCGATCCTGATTTCCACATGGCATAGAGATTTCCAGAAGCAGGTCAATGTTACCAGCTTTATTTTGTTTTCTTTGCAATCTTACAAATAGATTTTAAATTATGAAAGTAACACATGCTCACTGTAATCAGGGAAGCATGCAGGTAAACACACAAACACACATGTATGGAATAACATGATAATAATATCCTCACTTTATCCAAAGACACACCTTTAAAATCGTATGGATCACTGGTAAGTATTCCACGTTTTCTCTGCAATAATGCAAAGAAGGACATACACACGTGAAATGGGGGGTGTTAGTAGGTTGATTTTATACACATACATCTGATGGACACATTACACATATTAATCATCAATCATGTTTTGTTTCACTCAGTAGCGCGCTGTGACTATCTCCCACTGAGCCTTTTAGGTAATTCTGTGTTGTTCCATGCTGTGGATGGTCCACAGTTTATTCATCCTTCTCTATCCACATTCAGGCTGCTCCTTCTTATGTCCTCTCCATAGAGGTGCGGCAAACATCTCTACTATACCCTGACTTCCCAGTGCTTCAAATCCCACATCTAGCTTCCCAAAGATG